GACACAGATTATTGGCTCTGCATGCAACTGAGGGAGTAAGAATAAGTTTTGACGGAGAGGAGCCTGGTGTCATCTTTAACACTGCTATTCAACAGAATAAAGTTGTAACCACTTAAGTGCAAGAAAACTTAAAAGCAGGAGAAAGACTGAAGTCTGCTGTATAGATGTGGCTGCTAAAGAGAAACTGTCCTGTAGCAGGTACTTGGAAAATCTAGTAAAATTACTTGGATTGTCAAAACACGCTTAAAAAAAAAAAGCAAAAAAAAAGCCTATTGCATTTGCTAGCAACAGTAGACAAAGTTAATCACAAAAGAGTCAATATGATGCACCCAAAGCAGTAGTTAAATATAGAGTTAAATAGAGTTATCAGTCATTCTAGTATGCAGAGTATTCCATGCTCTTTCACAAGGAGCAAACAAAGTTGGGGTGGGAAGAAGAATATTATTCAGTCAGGAAAAAAAACTGTGATTGAGAACAGTGAAAGCCTGGAACAATGGTACCTAACCCTCCAGCCCCGTAGGCCACGTGAGTGACACGAGGTTGGTCAATGGGCCTAATCCTGCACAGGATCAGCATGTGGGGTTGGCCCATGGGTGTGATCCGGCAGGCTGGCCTAACCCTGTGTGCCTGAATCTGGCTGCATGCCGAACCAAATACAGCTGCATGCTTGCCAACCCCAAGCACCATCATGATCCCATGCCCCAGATCCAGCAGCTCACTGGAGTAATCTCATGCAGAGGGGCACATGGGACTCCCGAGGGTTCCAGAAATTTGGGAGCATGGGAACAGCAATTAATACTGCCACTACTCCCCTGCTGCCAAATGACTGGACTGCTGGGGAGTCCACACCCTGTATGATAATAACAGGGTGGTAGGTCAGATCTGGCCCACTGACCAAGGGTTGAGCACCCCTGGCGTAGACTATCATTTATTCCAAAACTTAGGCCATGTGTAGTATAAACTAATCTATTAAGTTTCAAGTCTGAAAATGTCTCCTAAATTGTGATTAGTTAGGAGCAGTCAGCAGAAGGATAATGGAGAAGACAGAAGTCCTGCTTAGTAAAAGATTTAGAGATGTTGAGATTTGGCTTCCTTTTCAATCTGAGTGAAAAACAAGTACTTTGAAAAATCTCTGTAGGAAAATTTTGAAAAACATTTTGATTTTTTTTAAATTAAGGAAATGTTTTGATGTTCCATACAGATTTTGTCTTTTGTATGATAGCATGTAATAATACAAGATAAAAAAGCCCGAATTAAGGCATATTACAATGGAAAAACAAAACCAAAACTGTTTCTGATGAATATATTGTAATGGGGCCATTTGACTCTTCTTTTTTAAAATAAGTTTCCAGTAAAAGTGATCCAAAAGTGATTTTACATTGCATTTTTATCCTCATGGAACCATATATTTTCACAGAATATGGTTTCATTGGCATATGGTGAATTGATGTAAAATGGCATATTTTATGTGACATAGGTGGAGAGCCAGGTTTTCATATTCTGATGCATCTTATTTTCCAAGCTCAAGAACAGTGACCTTTGGTTAGAGCTGGGGAGCTGAATGAAACCTGTAGAAACTCTGACCAAAAACTGTGAATCTGAATTTTTTTTGCTGAACACAGCTTTAAAGTATTAATTCTATGAGCTAGACTGTCATTTTTTTTATAACAGGGGAAAAAGTGAATACTCTAACAAAGTGTTTTTCCTCCTCTTTTTGAAGGTTCATTTTTTCTGCCTCGTAGGAATTTTATCATAATTTCATGCCCCCACACTTCACGGTTTGTTACTTAGTCTATTACTCTCACATTTAACTTGATAAGGTCCTGCTTCCTGTGATATTCATTTTTGAGTTTTGATTCCTCACAGCTGCTGCTTTGAAGTGTTAGATAACATTCTAAGCATTGCACGCTGCTGCAGGATTTTAAACTTTTCATTCAACTGCAGTATATAACCCTGTTTTTTTCTAAATAACTTTTCAGTGAATGGTTATATTCTAATATTCTAAAACCAGCTTTTCGCTTTTAATCAGGACAAACTCCAGACTTTTTTTTAGAGCAGCTAATAAGTTCCATTGAAAAGGTTTGATGACTTAGTCTCATCGTGCTCATTTCTTTTCCTCATAGGGATTTAGGTGTGTTATTCAAATTGGGAAGAATATGAGTTGTTATATCTTTCATGCCTGCTGAATGGGAGAATAGGTGCCTGTCCTTCTTGCTTTCATGCCCCTCTTCTCAGTTTTGCATCCTTAGGGCCATATCCCATCCACAGTCAGCATGCACGGCTCTCAGGGGCATCAATCAGACAGCGGGAGTATGCATGTTCTAAAGGTGTATTGTATTGGTGAATAGATGTTTTTCACTGGAACTTATATCAGTTTTGAGCTAAGAGTTAGCTTGAAGCATACAGACACAACAGGCCATGTTCTGCCTTCTTTAACATTCTTACTACATCACAGAAATCAACAAGATTCTATGGTTATAAGTGACACAGATCACTGGTAAAGTATCTGCATTAACATCCTAAGACTCCTCCGTTATCATCCATAAAATCCAACAGTACATCGTCCTTAAACATTCACAAAGCCTGGGTTTGAACTTGTATATTCTAATCTCTTTAACCTAAAATGTCTTTATCACTTTGTGTCTTTGTGGGTTGCGTCTGTTGGTCCAGAGGCAGTGGGGGTATTTCCTCTAGATCAAGGGTGAGAACCAAGCAGGAGCAGTGAGACAGCATTCCATATGCTTTCCATGTTTCTTCTCGTTGTTTCTCCCCCCTCCCTTGTCACTCCCTGTGAACTGGCACTGGGATCAAAGTAATGAAGCTTTTGTTTTCCATTCCCGCTGCCATTGGACAGCTGGGTCACAAGGAGGTAGCAGATTGGTTCTTATTTGCCAATATGCAGGGTGACTTCTGTTGGCTAATGATGTTGGTGCACAGTCAGTTGGACTCTGTTCCAGCCCTCACCTTTAACCACCATCAGAGCTCTTGGACCTTTTACCATGCCAGATGCCAGGCTGATTACCAAGTTTTGCTTGGGGTTTGGGAGTGATCTCTCCCATGTAGCAAAATGACAAACTGTGGTTTAGAGTTTTTTAATTTCATCTGGCATCTCATTAATTTTGCTTCTAAGGGGCTAAATTACATGGCTGCAACTTTGGTTCACTGATTCCAGTGCAATTAGTGAGTTAAAGGTTCCTTTAATGCAGGAGCCTACGTGAGCATAGGCAACACTGAACATATGCTTCCATGTCTTACACAGCATATAGCTCTCCCAAACTCATCTTAATAGCTGTGTAGGGGTGGAGGAACACACAGGTAGTTCCAGTCTTTCAGCCAAGGTCCCGGGTGTATGAACTGGATGTGGGGGTGAAAAGCACACTGGCGAAGTTTGCCGATGACACTAAGCTTTGGGGAAGTGCAGACACATATCAGGGTAGGCTGACAATCCAGGGTGATCTAATTAGGTTAGTCAGATGGGTGGACCAGATGCAGTTCAGCACTGAGAAATGTAAAACGCTCCATCTGGGGAGGAAAAATCCGCAACAAACTTACAGGCTTGGTGGTGTTATGCTAGCTAGCACCATGTCTGAAAGGGACCTGGGGGTTATAAGTGACCATAAAATGAATATGAACCACCAGTGTGATGCTACAGTCAGCGAGCAAACAATACACTGGCATGCATCAACTGACGCATCTCAAGCAAAACTAAGGAAGTTATTCTCCCACTCTACTCATGGTGAGGCTGCAGCTGGAGTACTGAGTCCAATTCTGGACACCACACTTCAAGAAGTATGTGGAGAAGCTTGAGAGAATCCAGAGAAAAGCCACTCATATGATTAGAGGCCTGAAGAGCAAGCCATACAAGGAAAGACTGACAGACATGGAGCTGTCTGGCCTAGAAAAGAGAAGACTTCCAGGGGATATGGTGGCAGCTTACAATATAGCAGGGGAGAGCATCAGGGACTAGGTGAAAAACTATTCACCAAAGCGCCCCAGGGGAAAACCAGGAACAGTGGTCATAAACTCCCTAGAAGAAGGTTTAAGACTGGAGATAAGGAAAAACTTCTTTACAGTTTGTGTGACCAGACTCTGGAATATATTCCCGGGGGGGGGGGGGCAGGCACCTACCCTGGAGATCTTCAAAAGGAGACTGGATGCAC